TGCATGAATTGTCCAGTGATGTACATCTTGAAAGATAATGTTTTAATCATATGGGAATGCGTAAGTGATATGCAAATACCCTGGCGCGCCGACGAGCAAAGGGAAATGCACTGGATGCGGAGAGATGCCGGGCTCCAATGGGTTCTTCATATTCGATGCATGAGGCAGTTTGTGGGATCTCTGGGACCAGTATGTCTCATGTATATATTTCTATTGTGCTATATGCGGCGCATTCCATCGTTATGGCATTCATTATGAATGCGTTATTGAACTTTTTTAATTTTCGAGCTGAATTTAAACTAATTTTATGAAACCCGACAACTTTAAATTACGAATCAGATGCTCTGAAAAACTTGTTCGAGTTGAAGAGACTGCTTAAATCACACCTTTATAAGAATTAAAATTAACATGCAATAGGATTTACAACATTTTTAAAGATCAACCGCTCAAGTGAATCGTTTGAAACCTCTTTGTGGTTGAAAGCGTCCATCTTTGTGACCCGTGCATGCCCTAAACGACCTTTAAGATGTAACGGAGGATGTAACGTCGAAAGTGTGTATTTAACATTTGAAACATTTCCCTAGTGTTGTTTAGAATTGACAGGCCAATTCCCCACCGATCGCATTTCTCCCACACTCAGAGTGTGATATAATCTGTCGCCGGAACTCAGTCGATTACAGAGCGTCAGTAGTCTACCTTCAGTCTAATACAGTCGATTACAGAGCGTCGGTAGTCTACCTTTAGTCTCAGTCGATTGCCGAGCGTCGGTAGTCTACCTTTCGACCCAGACGTGGCGGAGCGGCGTAGTAAGAGTTCGAGTCGCTCTTCGCACTCTCTACTCGCATCTCACTGAGTGGCCTGCGGCTGATGGCAGCAGCCGCTCAAGGTTAGAGGTCATAGGCCAGGGTGGACCGTGCCAGGCGTTGTAGCATGTCAAGGTTTTGCCACCAATTCTGCCGTTGAACTGATATTTTGCTACCTGATGGTGGAACAGGATTTAGGCAAGTATTGCTTAACGGAAGCTCTTATCCCTCAAATCAAATGAATCAAAGGGTTTGTGCGAAACTGCTTTATAAATCGGTTTCACCCCATATGCATTAACTGAACCTAAATGGTGACTATCTTACCCAGCCATGACCAGCACAGGGTTCTTTGATTCCTCGGAGTGCTGGAGCGTTTGTTGGACAAAGTCCAGCAGCGGCAGTGGGGTGTCAGGAAGCCCATACTCTGGCCAGGTCGGTGAACTGGAAGAGCTTGACATGAACTTCCTTCATTTCTCCTTTTTCGACTGGCTCTGAAATAGAAGCTCAAACGGATTAACCAGCTTGCATTTTGACTCTGTCGCCGCATTCACTCTAGTTAAAGGCAGCTTCTCCCGCAGTATCTCCACTATATCCAGCAGCAAACAACACAGGCGAGGCCGTTTACAGCCGCCAGAGCCGCCAGGGGAGTTGGGTGCTCTCAGCCCGATCCGTACAGCCCGACAAGCTCATTTGTGGACGGCGATTTATTACAGCAATTCAACCTAGGACGCTATCACATGCTCAACACTGGCGCAATCATAAACTCATTACTAAATAGCCCCCGCAAACGAGCAACGTTGGCCAGGCAGCGAATCTCCACTGGCCCTGTTGCTGCCTGAGGCGGTGCACTGACAGGCGCTGAGTCACCGGCCTGGCGCCGATGGGGGGGTCGCGGAGAACCGGCGCCGGGGCCGGGCCGGCCGGCGATCTCGCAGCACCCGAAACCGCCGCCGAGACAACCGCCAGCCCGGCCCCGGGCCAGCCGGCCCGCTCCGCCGAAATCGATGTCCGCTGATTCATCGAGCCATCCGCCCACCCTCCGCTGGCGACGGAGCGGAAAGGGCTGGGGGGGGGGGGGATGCTGGGGGCCGCCGACCGGGCGCCCACCTTCAGTCGGGAGATGCCGAGGGCGGCGGACGACGAGCGTGGGCGAGGCTGTGCTGGGAGCGCGTCTCCAGCAGGAGTGGTGCCGCACTGCCGGGCCGTACCGGGCTCGGGCCACAGCTGCTCCGCGTCAACCCTTCGCACGGACGGGCGTCAGCCTGCCTGGCACCGGCTGGCGACGCCAGGCCACAGCCGCCCGGCTGTACCAGGCACAACGAACCGAACCACTCTGCACGTCCGCATTCAGGCGCATTTGCTGGTGAAAATAAGTGGTTCGGCTGCATGTCGACGACGCTGTTACACCAGCAGAATGACGTTATCGGAGCATGATTTATGAAGCTCTGGATCTACAAATCTAGCCACAAATCTCTGACAGCTTAAAAATGGCATGCAGATCGCTTTCCAACGGACCAATGCAGCAACGTCCACACATTCGGAGGCCCAAAAGCTCGATAGGACCCAATTGCCACCATTGAATAGCGAGAAACAAGCAACATCCGCGTGCACCCCTGACCGATCCGAAGCAGAATTCTCCTGTGCTCATCAACTGTCAGTTGCTGTCATATATGGCGGCGTGAGTGGCCTGTCCTCCGTTTCTAAAGGCAGCACGGTCCGCGGCCTCGTCTAGCTGTTACAGCTGAGCCGGAGCCCCAGTGCTCCAGCTGTTGACCGGCCGCGAGCCGCGCAAACTGGACGTAAACACGCCTTGAATAAATGTGTTGCGATTGCCGATGGAGCACCACGGATGTTTGTCACTTGAAAATAATCAGATATAGAGGAGCGCGGGTCAATGCCAACACGGCAACCATTTCCCATCGGTGCAGGGCCATACCAAACTATTCTGAGCTGTTAACATCAGAGAAAAGAGGAGAAATAAACTATTGTTTGCTTGGCCAACAGTTCTGGCCAGTGCCGCAGATTTTGAGTAGTAGTACAACGTATTTTGAGCGGCCTCTCAAAGCACTAAAAGTGGTCAGATAATGCCGTTCACAGAATCCACTTAAGTCTCAATATCCGTTTATTTTGTTGGAAATTCATCTAATTTAAGTTTTTCTTAACTTCATAATTAACGTGTGTAAGACACATGGTGAGGTGCACATGAGCTTACAAATGTCCGGCTAGTTTCTGCCGCAGTTTAGCCAATAGACTGTGGATATTTGACGTCAAATACAAAGCTGTATAGGCACTGTACAAAGTGAGTCTGCATGATATTAAGGCCACACTCTCAGGCTTTCACAGACAACGTCAGGAGGTTTTCCACTCTTTTACATTGTATCACCATTTTTTGAGTGTGAGCATCCCTAACTCCTAATCCCTTCCATAGCAGAACAGTCCTGAAGCAATGTTTTACGCTGATCTAACACTACGCAGCATTGACCGTCCAGAGTACCGCGTCCGTCTTCTAAGGATGAAGTAGGTCATCCAACAAGTGATATGACGTGCCAGAGGAAGTGAGATGCTCATACTGCTGTGCTTTATTGCATGCTTTCTAGATACATTTTATAGGACATGCGGGGCTGGCGTCACAGCCAAATGCCGCCACATTTCCTTCCCCGCGGCGCGTGAGGAAAGGACGCAGGGCCTCAGCTACAATAGTTGTGCTTTGTGTTTACAACAATGGAAAGCATTGTTCACCAGTGCACCACTGTTCTCAATGTATTTTACGCCCTGTATGGAGTAAGCTTGCTCTCTGGGTTCATCGTGACCCACTAGCTACCAGGGGGGGGGGGGGCAGAAATTGCGCGAAGGCCTGACATATGCCGGTCTGAAACTAACGACTTCCTGAAATGAGCACACTGTCAACTCAACCCACCACACCCTTCAATAAATTTCTCGCGACGCTGAAGGGCCACGATGAATTAATAAATCAAGCGACGTGTCAGATGCAACCGCATATTATGCATTTAAATGGTCGGTGACACCAAATAAGACGGCGCCGGCCTGAACCGCGCCGGGTGAGGTCGGGCCTCTGAGGAATGGCTTCAAAATCGACGCATGGTAGTTTATTTTCAGTAGCTAAACACGCAGCATGTTTACACAGCGGGTGAAAGTTTAAAATATCTTTGTTTCGTGGGTCACGAATGATGGCATATTTGGCGGGGATTTCGAATTTGGCGTTTGGGTGCTGATAGCATACGTGGTCATAGAACAAGCGTTACGAAGGAGCTCATCACATGTATTTTTTTCCTGTGCCTCCTATCCCTATATGATGTCAATTATATAACACCTGATTAGGTCAGATCGCTCGAGGTCGAGGTTAAAATTTCCAATAGACTCGTTCTGACCAGTCTTACCTCGCTGACTGGTTTGACACTTGAAAGACCACTTCCACTGATGTTTGATGCCTGCGACCATGAACTCTTAACGTAGCTATCCAATATTACTGTCTGTTTGGCTCTGTTGCGCTTAGTGTTCGAGATAATACAGGAGGCCTGCGAGTCCCCACCTCCCTGAGAAGTTAAAAAGCCGCTGATCCGGCGACGCCAGTCTTAACAACTGGTCTTGTCGAAACAACAGCTGTTTTTAAGGCGACTGGTTTGAGTCAGTCAAAATACCGTCTGTTGGGTAACCGGTGCCCGCTCCTGCCTAGCAGACCGGTCCGGCGAGAGCTCCTGAGAGCATACCGCAATACACTACCGCCATTGTGTAACCAGCAGTTGCAAGGGCCTCAACTAGTACTTCACCGAAAGTCTGCCTGCGTATTAGAAAGAGGCACAGACGCACGTAAAGGCAAGCTATCGTTACAATCAGTCTATCTAGCTTCCAATGCGTGGTTTCGGCCTCCTTCTCACCATTCCTTACGTTTTCCGCTCGTCAACAAGTAATGCTGAAAGTCGCCGGAGCGGCGCTGTACTTGATAGCGCCAGACCACAGTGAAAACCGCCCCCGTGGCCGCTGTCCTACTTGCGCCGACACAGTGGTAACCACTCTGAATTCCGCCTTGAGATTTTGTATGTCCTATCATTCTTGTTTTTATCGCCACTTTTGGCCTGGAGGTGCCCCAACACCCTCTGGATTTAGTGTTAGCAGATATTTTTGTGCATCTCTGAAATTGTGGAATGAGCATCCCTATTTGCTCACCATTGGTGACGGTTAGACAAACCGAGGAACATCAGACATCGACCGCACCTGCAGTGGTCCCATGAGCACGATGATGCGGACTCCTTGCTCCCAGACCAGTCGCCAGAGGGCATCTCTGGTGGCCGCCACGGGACGTTGCATCACGATAAACGCCCGCACCCGCTGGTACCCATCCACGAAGTACGCTTCTGGGTGGGCCTTGCCGCGGTACAGCCGCGAGGTGATGGGAACCCGAGTCAGGTGGTCTGCAAGAGCCGCGCAGCGTATGACGTGGCTGGACACGCACGAGTAATTGTGACATAAGAAAGGGCTTCGTTGCTCCATCGTGACTTGGGATGTAGCTTGAATACAAAGAAGATGGTTTTGTTCAAATTTGAAGCAAAATATTGGAATACAAGAAACGAGCGGCATCCTCTGTGCCTTTCACTGACGGCGACGCCCACATAAAAAACATGGCGTTCATACTTCGCGAAAATTAAACGCAGATCAGCCTTTTCCCCCCCTTCAAGTGGGCCATGCGTCAAAAACAAAAGGCAAGGTAAGAGGCAAAACAAAATTTGGCTCCTGCGGGAGTTCACTCACAGTCGGTGGCCGCTGCTGCGGCGGCCTTCACGTCAGCCCTGCCGGCCGGTACGTCCGCTTCGGTCTCGTCTCGGCCGACGTGCAGCCGACCCCAGTCGCGTCGGAAGCCAGCCTCGCCGTCAACGTGCAGCTCGTGCACGGCCTGCGCAAACACGTGCGACGGCACGGACTCGTGTGGCGCGGCCGACCAGCCGCCTGGCGCGCTGTCCGCCGCCGCCGGCTTCCCCGGCGCCGGCGGCGTCCACCGTTTCCGCCGCCGCCTGCGTCGGCAGAGAGTGGCACGGATGAGAGACGCCACGTCGGTGAGGCCGCTGCTGGGAGCATTCCACAGTGATATAAAAGGATATTTGCGGGAATTTAATGAAAGTTGGTGTGGCCGTTGGGACACCTGACTCGCCGCATTTTCCAGCTGTGCTCACGGATGTCAGGGACGTCAGGTGCGTCAGGGGCAACGGGCGTGACAAACACGTCAGTGACGCTCACTGGCGATGTCCGCGGCATCCGGCGAGGCGGCCTCACAGGGGCACCGTAAGGACAAAGGAGACGCACATCGAATGGGAGAGGGAAGGGAGTAAGGGCGAGGGAGGGAGAGAGAGAGAGAGAGAGAGAGAGAGAGAGAAGAGAGAGAGAGAGAGAGAGAGAGAGAGAGAGAGAGAGAGAGAGAGAGAGAGGAGTGAGAGACGCGCAGAGGCATACTGTTGACGTCGACGGGTTTTGACCACGTGCGTGTCGTTCCCGCGCATCCGCAAGGCGTCAGAGAAGTCGGACACGACTCGATGGGTGAAATACTACCTACCCCGATGAGTGGTGCTGTAGGTAAGGGCATGCCAAATAAATTACAAATGTTAAATATAACTACGCGTAAGCGAATTGGCTATCACCCAATCCCTACTTGCAAAGGCAGATAATGACACCAAATGTAAAGATGAGCAGTCGCCACATTGGGCCGTTACATAAAATCATCGAAATTTTGAACGGTTCACAACCATGATATGATATACACAGTACAGAAGCAACGAAGCAGTAGTCCTGGGGCCAACTCGCATGGCTCTTTCTTCGAACGTCGACAGGAACGATTCTATTAACTGGCACGATCCAATATCCCGACGTCTTTGCTAGTCATTGTCAGGCTTATACAGGGATGTAATATGGCATAAATCAATTTGGGGCTGAGTTGGGGTAGCATATATGGACAGGCCACCTCACCGACTTGATTTCCCCTTGGACTTGAGCTACTACGTTTTTAATGTTGAGGGTGTTGACCTCGTACAAGGAAAGGGCTTAGCCTTGCCGTGCTGAAGTTCTTTCAGCGGAAAAGATAGCTTGGTATTGGTCTACACTATACAGCTTTCACGACGCCCCCCCCCCCCCCCCCAAGCTCTGGTTGTGTTCTGCGTACTAGTGTTCGGCTTCAGCAGTCGGGTGATGCGCGGCTTCGTTCGCTGCAGCTGATCCATATCAAAACTGATCCAGTTTCAACACTCGTTCACTGCAGCTGATCCAGATCAAAACTGATCCAGTTCAACACTCCGTTCACTGCAGCTGATCCAGATCAAACTGATCCAGTTCAGCACTCCGTCTACTGCAGCTAATCCGAGAGAAACTGATCCAATTCAGCGCTCCGTCACTGCAGCTGATCCAGAGCAAACTGATCCAGTTCAGCACTCCGTTCACTGCAGCTGGTCCAGAGCAACCTGATTCAGTTCAAGAAAACACAGGTCCCCAGGCTCGGTGGTACCCAGGCGTCAGGCGTGAAGGCCGACCTGATCAGGCCAGTTTCCTATGAATCGTATATAAATACCCAAACATCATACACGTTTCAGACGAGACTGACGTCCGGACGGTCCGGTCAGCTCCCACACTGCGCTCGAGACTGCCGAACCGAGCCAGCCTCTCACCGACTCGACCGCGCACCGCCGCCGCCCGCCGCTCCCTGACACTGCTCACCGTCGGTGAGCGAGCATTTCACCGACGGGCGTCACGAGCCGCGGCCAGGCACGCGATCGAGCCTGTCGTGTCACGTGACCGTCTGACCAGACGTGACCTGGTGTGTCACGCGATCCGCAAGCAACGCCAATTTTGACGTAATGTTCGGGGTCGGTGAGAGTCCCTTGGACCGCCGGCGAGAAGCTCAATATCGCAGAGGAGAGACTCTGAGAACCGTCGGTGAGAGACCATCAGGGCCGCTGGCGAGAGGCCCTCAGATTCACCGGCGAGAGACCCTCAGCACCGTTGGCGAGAGGCCCTTGGGTTCAGCGGTGAGAGGCCTTCAGGACTGCCAGCAAGAAGCCCTCAGGTCCGCCGGTGAGGGGCCCTCAGGTCTGTCGGCGAAAGCCCCTTAGGCCCGCCGGTGAGAGGGCCTCAGGACCACCGGCGATATGAAGGTTTACGGTGGACGTATAGCTGGGCCACCGACGCCGATATAGTTCAGGTGGGCGCGCCTCGGGGAGCCAAGCGGAGCAGAGGAGGGCTCAGCTGATCTGGCAGCGCAGCCGCACAGGCTGGAGCAGCACAGCTGTTCGGAGCGGGTGTGGCGCGGCTCGACTCGAGCACGGTTCGACATATTATCAGACTCTGAGACAGCATTGATGCTCTTAGCGTTAGGTTTGACAGCTTTGCTTGGGCTTGCCAGAGAGGCCAGGAGCCTCCGGCATCGCAGGACAGGACTCTGGGAAGTTTTAATTTTATTTATAACCAGCGCTTAGCTATAGCATATCATCATGTCAAGCTCTCACGAATGGAGATGACTTTATTTCGTCAGGTATCGGCACATTCCTGACATGAGCTGAATGTTCCATAGCATGTGAGGGCAGGCCGGTCCAGCCCTTCCCTAAATCCCACGCTCATGGCTTGCCGTATCAAACTGGTATCA